CCAAAATCCCACTGGCTCCTGAACACCCAGCTCGTTCTCGAATGCACGCAAAGGTGAGTCAGTGTAGTTGGCCCAGTCACCCCAGGCGCTTCCGGTCAAGCCATCCTGTCCCAACAGCATCGAACAAGCACACTTGGAAACAAGTGCTGCCCTCTGACGGAACCGGTTCACCAAGCAAAAAATGATCCGCTCTTCGAAAAAGCCGTGCCTGAAAGAACATGCCCATGGTGGCCATCATTGCCAGGCGTCCGTTCGCAAGCTCTGCGTTCAATCGGCGTGTCTTGGTGTCAGGATTGTTTCCAGAGAAGAGAGGTGGGTTCCATCCCATGTCACCAGGGGTGCGCTTGGTGATGTCCGCATCATAGCCGGCAGAGATCTCGCAGTAGGCGCAGTAGCCAAAGATCTGAATCCAGCCTGCCAAAGGCACCTGCAAGACACAGCTAAGCATGTGAGCATTTCAGTATGTCTGAGTGGACAACTATGTTCCAAAGTTTGGAAGTCTTCTCTACCGCACAACAAACGCGGAATGCCTTGGAGATTGCCGCAAGTCCATTGGGAATGTCCGAGAAGAGCAGCTTCTGGGAAGTAGACAAGTAGCCCGGGAACTTGCCAGCTACCTCTTCTGTCAAAAAGCAAACTCTTACACCACAGCCAACACAGCACATTCAGGAAATAACAACTGTTTGCCGACGAAACCTCGGGAGTGATGTAGCCCATTGTTGCCTTGGAGCTTGAAACTCGGAAAGCACCGAAACCAGTTCAAAGTGTCCCTCAAAACTGAACAAACATAACAAATTCATCTTCGGCCAAATTGCCAGCATGCAAATGCGGCCGTGCTTGAGCTCGACAGAGCGTCGTCGCTTGAAGGAGTACAAGTTGCCATCAGAGGAAAGCCCCAAAGGATCCCAGAACCCCAGAGGTGCCTCTCATGCACATCTAGCAAGGCCAATGAGGCCAAAGACTTGGCATGATCTGACTACCTGCTAACATAAAGATACATTACAGCAAAAAACAAAGCAAACTAAACAAATTTAGTACCCCTCCTGCGCACCCAGCTCGTTCTCGAACGCACGCAGCGGAGAAGCAGTGTAGTTGGCCCAGTCTCCCCAAGCGCTGCCAGTCAAGCCATCCTACAGTACGAATTGGAATGTAATATCTGTCATAAACTATCTTACAGACTCAGCTTCATGTTGTGTCTTTCCTGTTTGCATCATGGTGCATCCTGTGTCTTTGCAAGCAAAACAAAGCCTGGAAGAACATTCCGATGATCGCCATCATCGCAAGGCGGCCATTGGCCAGCTCGGCGCTAAGCTTTTTGGTCTTCTCAGCAGGATCGGATGAGGTCAAGACCTT